TAAAAGCCAAAGATATACAAGTAAATAAAACATAAAAATAGAAAAAGCTTAAAATATAATTAAAAAGATAGGGGATATCCTTTTTATTAAAAAAAACGAAATAATATAAGCAGATATTATTATTCTAGAATTAAGTGATTATATAGCATCATTATAAACATAAACATCAAATGGCAATCCAATTTAAAGTATTAAATACCCATGTGGAATAACATACAGTATTATTTTATTTTTAATACAAAAAAAAAATGAAATATATAAAAAAATATATATATAACAAATAATTTATTTATAATATATATATATATTTGTATTAATTTTTTTTTTAAATAAAAAAAAAAAGTATCTAAATCTTCAAAATTAAAAGGACGTCATTTTGATTATAAAAAAATATTAAATGGAAAATTTAGTTATTATAGTCCTGAAATAAGAAACTAATAAGGTTTTGAAGGTTTCGTAAAATTATCAAAAGATCCATCTGGTTCAATAATTAACGAATAAAACACTGCTAAAAGAGGAGAGATTTTTTAGTATTCAGATTGGTGTTTGGGTTTAGTAGTTTATTGTGGAATAGAGTGCTATTATTATAAATAATTTGAGCTTAAATATGATAATAAAAATTAAAAAATAGGTTTTTTTTAGAAAAAAGGTGAAAAGTTATTCTCAATTTATATTTTTGCTATTTTTATTTTCTCTATTGTTAGTGTTTTATATTAATATACAAATAATTGCTTTGTTTAAAATGGAGAAAATGAATCAAATTTTCCGTTTAAATTGTTTTTGGCTTATATTAATGATTATTCGCTTTTTTATCCATAAATTTTGTATATTTTAATAGACTTTTGGATTCTAATAAATGCAATTTATTAAAATTTCGTTTTTAATTAAAACAGATTCCCAATAGAAAATAAAGATGAAAACAATTCACAAAATCATGACTTTTATGTAAATTCGGAAAAAGAAATTTCAAATTTACATTTAACAACACATGCTTTTATAGATAAAACAGGTACTTTAACAGAAAATAGTAATTTTAATATCTGTAAATTATATTTATAAGAGGATTCTTATTATTTTGAAAATTAAAATAGTTAATAACTAGAAGAATTATGTAATATATATATATATATATATATATATATATATATATATATATATATATATATTTATATATTTATTTACTTTTATTTATAAAGATGATTAAAATTCAAAAAAATTAAAAAATAATGTTAATCATGCAGATATTTAATTTTTTAACTAAAAAAATTCAATTAAAAATAAAAAAAAAAGTATCATATAAAAAATAAACGATGATTATATTTTTGATGAAAATATTAGTTTATAAAAATAAAATGTTCCTAATTTTCGATAAATAAGATATAAAAGAGATTTAGAGTAATTTACGTAAGTTGTAAAATAGATTTTATTTGAAAAAAATAATAATTAAAATGAATTAAATATATTTAAACTTTAAAACGACAGTGAAACTTAAGGTAATAGTAATATATAATTAAATAAAAACTAGATAAATAGAAATAATAATAATGATCTTTATTTTTAAGAATAAAATTAAAAATCTTTAAGTATTAAATAATTAAAATAACATTTAAATAGTTAATCTTAATATATATGCTTTAATTCTAATATATAAGATTAATCACTTATAAATTTATAAAATTCTCCTAATATAACATTTCTTTAAAACATAAGAACTTAATAAACAAATAATTAAACGAAAAATATTTAAAAACTAAAATCTATTTCTTAAGATATTTAAGAAAGCTAAAATAAATAATTTAATAATGGGTAATTTTCCCCTTTGTTAATTAAAGATATAGGAAATAAAAATAATAAAATTTAGTAAATATCATAAAATATATTATTTTCTTAAAGATAAAATAATAATTCTGTTATAAATTATTCATAATATTTAAATAAAAACGAAAGTTAAAATAATTAAATTTCCCCAATAAGGAAAGCTTTTAAAAAATAAAATATACTTCATTATTGTCCTTAATATAATTAAAACATACTCTTTCAAAAATTATAAACTAAAGATGATAATATTAATTAATATATAATTGCATTTATAGCCTTAAATATATGTCATATTTCAAGAAGTAGTTTATAATAAATAAAGGAAGGTAAAATTTTTACGAATTCTTAAAATAAATATGATAATCTTTTTCTTTAATTTTCTAAAAATTATAATTTTGAGTTTAAATGTGTATCTTAAGGAATATCAAAAACTAAATAATATATTATTAAATAAAATTCTGATTCTCTTATTTTTTAAATTAAAATACCGCCTATTTATAATTTAAGAGAAACAAGATTACATATATAAGTAAAAGAATAAGATTAATACTATATATATATAAGGTTAGATTTTTTATACTTAATATAAATTGAATATTAATTTAAATTAATATTTTATTTAATTTTATATATATATAATATATTTATATATATATAATATATATATATATATATCTTTTTTTAGAGAAGAACTAAATAATGTTCCTTCTTATTTGAAAATTACAAATATTTAAAAGGAAAGATTAAAATAGCAACTTTAATTTATGCTCGAAAAAGGATAAATAGGTATCCTTTTTTGCAGAAAAGAAATAAATGAATAAACAGCTAATTTAATGATGGAATAATACGATAATTTATCTAAAAATTTTAATTCTTAAGATATAAAAATATAAAGTTACGATATATTTAAATCGTAACTGATAGATTTCGAATTTATAAGCCTTTTTGCTATAAAATAAGTCCTTAATCCTCATGCCTAAAGCCTAATTAATAATTTAAAATCAGCAAATATTAATATTTTTTGGTTAGTGGTGACTCTTATTTAAGAAACAAAGCCGTTGCTTACGAAAGTGGTATATTCGAACCTTTAAATGAAGTTTTGAGATTCGAAATTAATAAAGATAATGAACTAAAGAATTAAATGATAAGTAATTTAAAAAAGTTAAAAGATAATATATAAAATAAAAGTTAAAAAGACACTAAAAATATATAAAATTAAAATAATATATAAAGTATGAAATTAACTCAAAGTAATATTAATAATAATTAATAAATAGAAAATAATAAAAATAACAGTAAAATATATTTAACTTTCGATAGCTAATCTTTTAATCAAATCATCTAAAATGAATACCTGAAAAACCATTTTTAATTTATTCTTTATTTTTGCGATAGTTGCATAGCTTCTAATTTTTCTCCTTTCTAAAAAAAATCAATTAGTTAAAATAATTAAAAATATAAATAAAAGTAAATAGAAAAAAATAATATAGTTATATAATATATATATATATTTATATAAATAAATATATATATATATATATTTATATATATATATATACTATATTTTAAAGATTCTATTTTTACATTATCTATTGGAGATGGTTTAAATGATATAGGAATGCTATAAAGTTCTGATTTTTCAATATAATATGTTGATAATAATAATATTAATATGGATTTTTTTAGCGATATAAAAGTTCGAAAATTAAGCTGTATTAGTTATTTATTGTTTTATTTTAGCAGAAATCAAAGCGAAACAATAGAAGATGGTATATATTTTATTTTCTATAGGAATTTTTTCTAATTAACTGTAATTTTTATGTGGAATATACTAACATGTGCTTATGGAGATATTATATTGTCTTTAGTTGATACAATTTAATTAAATATAATGTCATTTATAATAATATGTATATTTTTATTCCGAAAATAGTAAAAGAATAGAAAACATGGGCTTTAAATGACTATATATACAAAGCAATATAAATTAAATAAGTATTTCTTTACAGATGTGTTTCAAAAAGTACTAATAGTGATAATTCCTTAAGTTTTAATGGATTCTTTTATTATATTTTATCTACTTTATTAGTCTAATAATTAAACTGTGATTGTAAATGGGATTCTATTCGAAAAATAACAAATTTTATTTTTTAATAAAATTCTATTTGTTTTTCTTACTCATTTTAAGCTTATTTTATACTAAAATTAGTCCAAATTTACATTCTTTTTTAATTTATTTTTGCCTTCGTTATATCTAATTTTTAATACTATTCTAGAATTAAATAATATTGAATTATAAATGTTTTATTCAATAAATATGTCACTTATTATTATTGTTATTTTCCTAAATTTCTTAGTTTCGAATTTCTTATTTAGACTAATTATACCCCTCTTGACTTTCGAAATGATGAAAAATAAAACTCGCTTTGAACAAATAAATATTGAAGTACAAAATAATATCTAGAAGTTAGAAGAATATAAATATACTTAAGAATATCTCCAATATTAAATGCAATAGTAGAATAATTAATAAATATAATCAGCTGGAGTTACTTCTTAATTCGCCAATAATCAATCCTAACAACTAGCTTAGTTTAAAATAGAGGCTTAGTAATAAATTGAGTATAAAAATATGCTATAAAAGAACAAAAAAGATTACTTAATCCATAAACAAATCTAAAAACAAAGACTAGAAAACATAATAAAAATGATTTTCAAAGAAAGCGAAATAGATAACATCCTTTAAGACTTAAATAACGAAAATTTTAGTCTAAACTCAAAAATAAATCCTATATATTTAACTTTTCCATAAAAAGAAACTGAAAAAAATACATAGTACAAGAACTAGCAGACTATAAAAAGATGTTTTTTTTATATAATTTTTCCTTAGTATTTTCGGTGATTTAATGGTTATTTTAATAAAATAATAAATCTAAAAAATAGACTATTATTTAATAATGATAAAAATTAGTATAGAAATAATAGTTTTAATAGGTTTATTTTATTCATATATGAGATTTTTTATAGTTTTAAATTATCTTTTATATATTTTAAGATATATATTTAGATTAAATTATATACTATTATCTATTTATTAGGATAATATTCTCTAAAATATACTCTATTCTATACTTTTGACTTATAATATATTAATAAATCCTATATTATAATTATTAGTTTAGTTTACTTTAATTATAATTGATTTTTTTTAATTTCAGTTAAATTATGTTTAAACAGAATTTATTAAAAAAGAAGATGTATATTTCTAAATTTTCTTCTTTTTTAACATTTTTACTAATTCCTTCTTTTTAACTTTCATTCTATATATGAGAAAATACCAAAATGATATCCAGAAACGCAAAAATTTCTAAAGAATAACCAAAATATAGATAGAAACTAAAAAAATTAATAATGTACTCTCTATTCTTCTCCCCAAATTCATCCGAGAAGTCATAGACGAAAAAGGTCCAGAATATTAAGAAGACTAAGGAAATGTGGCTATTTTATTTTGTGATATATATGACTTCGATTCAATAATATAGGCCGAAAAAGGCAATATTATTAAAATTTTAGATAAACTTTATAGATCTTTCGATAATATATGTAATCAAAACAACATCTAAAAAATAGAGACTGTAGGAAAAACATACATGGCGGCTTCTGGTTTGAAAAGAATTTTTAAAAATAACTAAAATTAATAAAATTACATCCAAAAAAACATGCATCCAGTCATAAAATGTATACTTATGGCAAACGAAATGTTAAACCAGGCAAAAAAAATAACTTTTGGTTAGAATTTCAATAATATATAAATTAAAATAGGAATTCATTATGGGTAAGTAATAGCAGGAGTAATAGGTGGACATAAACCATAATTTTCATTAATTGGAGATACTGTAAATACGGCTTCAAGAGTATGTTTTAATGGAGAAATTGATTGTATAACAATTTCTAAGGAAGCTTTTGAAGATTGTTAATAATAAGTATATATATATATATATATATATATTATAATTATATATATTATATTATAAATTTATATAAATACTTATATATATTTCTAAATTTATTTATATTTTTTATTAGTTCAATCTTAAAGAATTTCAAGACTTTTTTTATGAAATATTTTAATTTAATATTGGCTTTGTCGAAAAAATAATAAAAGCGAAAGGTAAAGGAGAATTAAAAACTTATTAAGTACAATTTAAGAGTATTAAAAAGAAAATTCCTTTAAATATGAGAAAAACTGCTGAATAATTAATTTCAAAAGGTGAATAATCTATTTCAGCTGTTTGTATTTTTAATTATGTTAATTAAGATACAAATAGGTTAAAAGTAACATCTTTCAATGAAAAAAATAATACATTTTTAAATCCAATTGATTCCCCAATTAATTAAAAAAATTCTAATTTTTATATTTTAAAATAAGAATAAGTATCAATTAAAGATGAAAAAAGTGAATTTATAGTGATTAGTAATGATGATAATTCATAATAATAAGAAGCTATAAAACCATTAATATTATCATATGTAAAAACTAATATATATATATATATATATATATATATATATATATATATATATATATATATATATAATTTATAATACAAATATAATTATATAATAAAGGCAGATATTGTTATAATTAAACAGCTAGAAGAAGAAATAGGTATAAGTACTTAAATAGAATAATAATATGACCTTTAAGATGATTAATTAGATATTGAAAAAATTCATTAACATTTTTTAGATATGGCTAATGATTGTATAAATATAAACAATTAATAAAAAAATTTCGAAAAAAAAATAAATATTTTTTAACTTCTAAAAAGTGAATATAATGGTTTATATGATAATTTTTATGAAGATGAAACTTTTTAAATAAATTAAAATATAACAATATATAATTCTATTATTATAATTAAAAATATCGTTGAGGTTTTCTTAAATAAATTGATGAATCCAAACACAATATTCATTAATTAAAATCTACAAATAATAAATAAATCAATTATAATAGGAATTTTCTTTATAATACTTGTTTGTTACAAATTATTTATAAAAAGAAGCTAAAAACTTGTTAAAATAATAATTTCCAGTATTCATTGTATTTATATTTTAAGTATAGCAATAGAAGGATATTTCTATTTGATCAATTAAACTAAAAATTTAATCATTAAAATGTATTTACAAACAACTCTTTTTATATTTATTTTAATGATTCAATATAAATGTTTTTAGTAATAAATATATACAAAATAAATATATATATTATAAAATATATATATATATATATATATAAATAATAATTTTAATTATATTATAATTTTTATTATTTCTAAAATATTTTACTATTTTTATATATATAGTTTATATGAAAAAATCCTCTTAGCTTTTATACTTTTTATATTATATTTATGTTTTACAATTGTGAATGATATAGTTTTTTTAGAATCGTTCTATATATTTTTTGCTATACTTATATCTTCATTATATCTACAAATTATATACTTAGAATTAGACATATGTAGTTATAAAAACCGCAAAGTGCTTGATTTAAAAATGAATTAATAAAACTAATTACTTGAATATTTACTTCCAGGACATATAAGGGATTAATTCTTAGAAAATCAATCCAAATCTATAAATTTAATTGATAATTTCGACAATGTAACTATTTTATATGCCGACATTGCAGGATTTACTAAATATTCTGCTAGTGTAAAGCCTGAGTAAGTTGTTTTTATGTTAAGGGAGTTATTTACTAAATTTGACTAAAAATGCTAATAAAATAAAGTATATAAATTATATACTATAGGAGACTGTTATGTCATTATGAGCTTAATATCTAATATTAATAGAAATTATGTTTAAGAAGCTATAAATGGTATTATTTATATATCATTGTTAATTTTACTTTTTTTAATATATTTAATTTTTTTATAAAAGTTATTAATTTTGCGTTTTGTTTAATTGATATTATTTAATAAGTAAGAGAAATCATTAATTTTGAAGAATTAGATATGAGAATTGGTATACATACAGTAATAAATAGTTATAAAAATTATATATATATTATATATATATATATATATATATATATTATATATATATATTCATATTTATATTATATATATTTATATATATTTTTTTTTGTTTCTTTATTTATTTATAAATTTATTTATTTTTATACTTACAATAGGGATCTATTATTGGAGGTGTTGTAGGTACAGGTGTTGTGAGGTATGATATATATGGACCTGATGTTGTTATAGCAAATAAAATGGAAAGTAATGGTTAAAAAAGTCGTGTTATGATTAGTGAAAGCACTTATTAATTAATAAATGATTAGTGTTAAGATTTATTTTTGTTTGAAGATGAAAACGATATATATATAACGTCTTTAAAAAGAACAATAAAAGCGTATTTTGTTAGATAAATAGATTAATAAAAATCTAAAGTAAGTAGTTATTAATGATTTTAAATATATAATATTTTGTTTTTTAAAATGTATTTTTTTAATTATTTATTTAATATTATTATATTGTAATTAAATTAAATTATAAATTTAAATATAAATATTTAAATAACTAATTGATATAAATATAAAATATGACTACAATTTATAAATTTAATTGATATTTATAATTTTATGTTATATAGATGAGAATATTTCAATATATAAAGATATATAACAATATAAAATATATATAAAATTTTATTATGATAGTATTAGAACAAAAAAAAAAATATGTTAAATAAAATATATATTCAATAAATGATAACCATAAAATGTAAAAAAAAAATATATTTTATAAAAATTAAATATGTAGATGATATATTATATAGAAAAAAATAAAAAAAAAATATTTATGATAAAATAAATGAATAATTTTTAAACTATATAGTATAAACATTTTTATAATAGTATTATAAATATATAAAAATATTATATAAACAAAAATAAATATATGTATATATATATAAATATATATATATATATATATATCTTTCTTATAATATTTTTTTTTTTTATTTATAAAATATATTATTTTTATATAAGATACTATATATTTTTAGAATTTATTTTTATATTTTATTTATTTAAATATAATAAAATTTTTATTTTATATATAATTTTTATAAAAGAAATTTTATTTATATTTAATTAATATTTTTACACGAATATTGAATATTTTATGTTTCTATTCTTTCGGAATTAATTGTAAATATTTACATAAATTTTAAAAACTATTTTTAGACGAAATTTTTTATTATTAAGATTATGTATTTAATCTTATCTTTATAATTATTAATTTCTCATTTTATATATTAATGTAATATTATGAATCTAAAAAATATATTGTCACATCGATATGTTTTCAAAATGAATGTTAAACATTCTATATTAAACTTTATGTAAAAAAAATCTATTAAAGAGATATTAATATTAAAAGAGGATATTTAAATAATATATATATATGAATATTTATATTTATTATAATTTTATTTCTAATTAATATTATTGTTTTCTATTTAACTAAGTACAATTTTTTTTTAATTAAAATGTTAAAATGTTAATAAGATTTTGATAAAAGCTTAATTATATTATTTATAAAAGATAGTAAACTATTAATTTATGAATTTTAATATATAAATGAAATCTAATTATATAAAATCTAAAATAAATGAAAATTATATTAATTATATTATATATGTATATATAAATATTTATGAATAATATTTAACCAATATATAAATTATTTATATTGTATATTTTTATACTATTTATTCTTCACCAATTCTATGTATTAGAATATCTGATTCTTTCAACTAAAATAGTATTAAGACGTTTGTTTTCATATTAAAGGACATGTATTTTTTCTTCTAGTTATTTAACCAGGAAGTTATTTTTATTATAATTTTACATTTAGTTTAATTTATTTTCCAATTAAAATATTAATTCATCCCTTATTTATAATTATTAAACAAGAAAATCATTTTGAGCTTTAATTTAATTATTATTAATATCAAAATCTTATTAGCTTTACCTTTAAGAAGTATGTTTACTATTTTTGTCTGCAAATTTAATTTCTAAATTTTTAATAACTTATTAATAATTATCTCTTTCCTATTATTATTCATTTTCCATATTCTATATTTAATTTTATAAATTTTAAACCTAAAAATTCCCTTCTTACAATAAGCCATGTAATCTTTCATTTTCAACTGAAATTCTTACTATTTTTTATTCAAGGAAAATTTCCAATTCTTCCTTTTATTTTTATAAATGAATATTTTATTAGTCTATATTATTTATAGTCCTTTCCAAAATGCCTAAATTTTCATTTTTTATTTAAGTTCTTCCACTAGCATTTATAATTCTTCAATTTAAAGCTTTTTTTCTTCCAAATTCTCCTCTTTTTTTAAATTAAAGTCTTTATTTCTATAATTTATTTCTCCAAAACTTCATTACGAGCTTTTATTTTGAAACACTCGACCATTTTTTCCTCATCTATTTTCCTATTTTCTTAATTATTCATTAAATTTTACATTTCTTCACATTTTATTTACAAGTATTTTTTTTATTGAATCTCCTTTTATATTTCGAATATTAATTCGCTGTTTTTTTGATTTAAACTATCAATCTGTATTTAATAATCATTTTTTGTATTTAAAAAAGTCTATTTATTTCCCTATTCTATTTTCCTTTAGCTAAATGAAAGACTCTATTCTTAAATTTATTATTATAATTTCTCTATTTATTCATCTTTTACTTAAATCTTACTTTCAAAAGTACTTTTTAAAAAATGAAAATTACTCAGTTCGTAATTTAATGTCTATAGTTATTATTATAAGCCTTAATTTTCATTCATAATATTATTTCTTTCGATTAATAGTGAATTTTTTTCATTTTAAAAATTCTTTTTTTCATTTACTAGTGTATTTTTTTCAACTAAAAGTGTATTTTTTTCAATTTAAAGTTCATTTTTTTCTTAAAATAAATTTTCCATTTTTTAGTCGAGTTTTAATATCTCATTTTCAAGTTATTTTACAATTTATTATAGTTAAAAATTTTCCGAATTTGCATTTTTTTATAAATTTTAAAAAAGAGAAATTTAATTAATTTTTTCATTCAAAAGAAAATTCAAATTTTCGTTTTCTTCCAAAACTTAAACCACTTTTTTTTCCAAAGAATTATCTTCTTTTTCTTATAAAAATTTTCCATTTTAATTTTCTTCGTATACTTTTTCATTTTATTCATTTATTTTATTCTAATTTCCCTCGTTTAATTATTTATAATTTTCCATTTCTTTTTATAAAAACTCCATTCTTTCTTATAAAATTTAAATAGTTTCTACTTTATCCATATAACCGAATGATAATTTCTCATTCTCTACACATAATAATACATAAGATTCTATCATATTTTATACATCGATTTCTTTATGTTCTTTTTATAAATATCTTATGTTATATGCATTTTATATGGACTTGTTTTTTATCTCTAATTCTTTTCGTAAATCCTAAATTTCCTATAATTAAGTCGCTTGACTTAAAAACAGATTACTATTTTAAAGATTCGGATTACCACTATTTGATAATTAATTTAAATCCCCAAATGTAGGCTATTTTTGGTAATTTTTGTCTAAATAATACTAAATTTATTACATCGAAAAAAAAAAAAAAAGTAAAAAAAAAAAAAAAACGAATTTTATATTTTTTATTTTAAAATATAATTTAATATAATATAATTTATTTTAAAAAAAAAAAAAAAGTACATATATAATAAATAAATATTTCATGTAAATTTTTAAATAAACTTATTACTTTCTTCATTTTTCAACCATTTAACAATTTAATTTAACTAAGAATTAATTTCATAAATAGAAACAAATTTTTCCAAAATAAACATAATAATAACATCTTAATTAGCATATAAACCAGCAATATCATCCTAATCTTTCACAAAAGAAATATGTTCTTTTTTATTATCTTTACTATTATTATCCACTGCTACTTATAAATATTTCTCATATTAATCTGCATATTTCCTAATGTATCTTTTCGCTTCTTTACTTTATTTACCGAACGGATGAAAACTCGGCATACAAAACTACTATAAATTTCCCTATATTTTAATTAAAAAATGCTTCACTAAATTTTATTACTAAAATCCAACAACCTTAGCCTAAAAAGGTAACTTTAGTAAATTTTCAGAAATAACCTTTTCCATATTAACCTATATTTTTTCCAAAATCAAACTTCCTTATTCCTTACATTAAAAAAATGCGTCATTTTAATCCGAAATCATAACTAGGGCTATATCTTAATTTTCTATAAACCTTATATAACAATAAATTAACCCATCCGCACTCATTCCCGGTAAGCATAAAGGAATCCAATTTTCAGAATACTTCAATTATTATTAACACTATAATAAATTCTATAATAAAATGACATCCTATGCTTAGAAATCGAAACCTTTTTATTTAAAAATATCAATAACATAAACTTAAGTTAATAAAATTGTAATAATTGCGCAAGTATTGTCCTATAAAATTTAATGTATTTATTTCCTTTATGTCTAAGGTAAAGGACAAGCCATAAAACTAGATAAAAAAACACACGGGGAACATAAAGAGTTCTTTATAATATTCCCTAATATTATATTTCGGTCTCCTAAAGACTATATAGGGTCATAATTGGGTCTTTATTGTAATTTTTTATTTACTATATCTGTTAATATAGAAATCATTTAAATATTTAAAAAATCCAGCATTACCTAAATTTAATAATTGGAAGTTTTTTAGTAATCTTTATCAGTTATACATATATATATCAATTATTTTCTATAAACAAATTAAATTAATTTCTCCTTTATATATATCTTCTATAATGTACTAGTGTTTTTACCGTCTTTGAAAAAATATATTTTGTATTTTTCTAATATTGCCCCCATTGTAGCTATAAGACTACTCAATTCAGTTTCGTCACCATATCTGGTATATACAGGACGGCCAGCATCAGTTATTATAAAAACATGATGTTTATGATTATTATAGTTTTATTTATCGGGAGATTAATCTATATGTTTTTATATTGAATGGGGAATCATTTAGATAATTTTAATTTTTGTAAAAAGAAAAAAAAAAAAAAATCTTTTTAATTTTATTTTTTAATATATATTTATTTTTTATTAAAATTTAAAAGTTAATTTTGCTTTAAAAATATATTTTTTGTTTTATATAACTTTATTTCAAAATAATAAAATTAAATTTTATTAAAATAAAATAAAATTAATATGTTTATTAGAACGATAAATATTTATTATTTATAAAAATAAAAGAAATAAAAACTAATTCGTATATATAAAATAATAATATTTTACAAAATTATATAAATATATTTTAAAAATATAAACATACAATATTGTATATGTATAATATATATTTAATAATTTAAAATAAATCAAACAACATTATAAGCTATTTAATAAGCATTATTTTAATTAATAATAATATTTTAATGAAAATCATCTTTTTCTTCATCATTTAAATAATCATTTAAATTTCCTTAATAATTAATTAAACTCGAAGCTTAATTGTAAATATCTTTAATACAAACTAAAATAAAATTAATTAAAAATAGTTAATTTTTTATTTATTTTTTACAAAATTTCTAAAATAATCCTTTAATAATATTTAAACCTCCTTTATATTTTACCACAATATAACTTCTACCACATTAAAACTCAAAAATATCTCCTTCTTAAATAACTACAGGTAAATTAACTTAAACCAAAGACCCAAATTTCGAGTTTAAATCTTAAATTTAAATATTAAAATCATCTACTATATTTAATATTAAATGACTTCTTGAGACTGTTATTTCGCCTAATCTAATATTCTGATCTCCTCCTCTTCCTATTTTTATTTATTATGTTTTCGATATATCAATTAAATACACTAACTCCTCCTAATCTTCCAATATTAAATATTAATTTAATTAAAAATTTTCAAATTAATATAATTAATATAGCTAGTTCTAAATACTAAATTTATGTACAAAATATTATTTACAAATTTCACATTTAGTACTTTTTTTATTAAATATATAATAGTTTTCTTTTTTTTAATCTAAACTCTACTTTCAATCCATTATTTAACACAATCGAAATGAATCCATTTAGCAGTTCCTTTACATAAGCAAGGCGCTATTAAAGGATTGTACTAATTACAAGATGTACTTAAACATATACGACATTATTATATATTTTCTTGTATTATGGAAGCCATTTATTCGTCTTTATTACTATTTATGGAACAAGCGATATTCGAAATGTTATAATGCTACTCTTTACTACATTATTTTTATTTATTATGGGTTTGAAATTCGATAATTTTAAACTCTTTTCGACCGATTTTAAATATTTGACCTACTTTTAACTTATTTAGACCCTTTTTTTGATTTGGACTTATACGAAACCATAGATTATTTTTTTCTAAAGGAATTAATATTACTTTATTATCTATAATTTATATTTTTTATATATATATATATATGCATATTTATTTATTAATAAATTTACTTTTTAATTATATTTGAAATAAAGGCTTTTCATCTGTAGTTTAATCTTAAATTTGATTTGTTTATCTATTTTATTTGAATATTATGTTGTTATTTATCTCATTTCTATATATTTTCCCTTATTCTGTTATTTGTATTTAATTATTTATTATTTAATTGTCAGTATTTAATTTATAATCGTATAAATCAAAGTTCTTCTCGACCCATGTATATGATTATATTTATAACTTAAATTTATATTCCTATTATTGTTGCATTATGTTTTTTTTTTTTTTTTATTAATTTGATAATAATAATAAAAAAAATTATTAATTTATAATTATTTTTTTATAAAATAATAAATAATGTAATATAACTATAAAAAAAAAATTATAATTTTTTTTTAATTAAAACAATAAAAATATTTAAAAAAAAAATATGAAATAGTATTTTATTATATAAAAAAAATTAAATAATAATTATTTTATAAAGAAATATATTTTAATATATATATTTATAATTTTTATATTATTATATATATTTTTACGATTATTTAAAATATAAAAATAGAGGATTTTAATAGTATTTTTTTAATTAAATAAAATATATATATATATATTATAGAAAAATTTATTATTATCTATATTTTTAAAATTATATGAAAATAAAATTTTTTCTTGTTAATTAACAAAAATAATAATTCAAAGAATATGTTTTATATAAATCTTAAAAGAAAATATTTATTTTTATTTAATTATATATGAAAGATTATTATATATTATAAAATAAAACATAATTATTATTATCTATATTATTTATTATATATTATTTTTAATTTTATAATTCCTTTAATAATTATAATTTTTTAGATGATACAAAAATATTTTTTTTTTATTCAACATATTTATTTATATATTTTTTTATATTTATATAAAAATAAAAAAAATATTTTAAATTATTAAATTTTTTTTTTTAAAAAAAAATATATAAATAAAGATTTTAAATATATATTTTTTTAAAAAATTTTAATTCGAAATTATATATATATTATTATATTTAATAATTAGAAAATAATTTATATTATTACATTTTTAATAATATTCTTAAATATTTATCTTGTAATATATATTAAAAAATTATTTATTTAATATTTCCATTTAAATCTATAAATCTTTATTATTAAATATATAATTTTTTATTATTTATCTATTTTTTACCTATTTAATCTTTTTTTTTTTTTTTTTCAAATTATAAAATAAAAAGCATTTAATTTAGACCTTAATTAATTATATTCTATATTTTTATAATATGTTTGTCTTTATCTTTATTTATATTATTTAATTTTTATTCATTTTCTATTTATTTAGTCTTAATAAATTTCAATTTCATATTTAATATTCTTTTTTCTTTAATATCTTTTAGTACATGAGTAGCTGTGGATATATACATAAAAATATTATAAATATATCCTATATTGTATTATCTATTTTTTTAAAAAAATAATAATAAAAATTATATATAATATTTTAAAATTTTTTAATATTTACTCTATATAATAATAATCTTAAAAATAAAATAATATCATATAAAACTTATTTTTTAAGTATAAGAATCTAAATAATTCTATTGAATACAAAAAATTGTCTTAAATATATGCTAATTTTGCATATATATAAAATTGCCTTATATTATAAAAAATAGGAAATAAATACTTTATAAAAAATATAACTCTAATAAATTATAATTATATAAAGAAATACTAATAATACTAAATTTCTGAAAATTTTATAAAATAAAATAAAATTAACTTATTTAAATTGTTAAGGCAAAAAAAAAAGTAATTACAACTTAATTAATAAAAAATAGCTGTATAAAAAAGCAATTATAAAATCCATTTAATAAAAAATCACAATTTTATAAATAAAATAAATTCAAACTTAAACTATAAATACTAATAAAAAGAAGAAAAAAAAAAAAAGATTAAAAATAAGAAAAATAAATATAATACAAAATTAACAAAATAAAGAAAAAGTAAAAAAAATAATAAATATATTAGTAAAAAAATTATAATAATATAATAATGTAATAAAAAATATTAATAAAAATAAATAAGAATATAAAAATAAAAATAAATATATATATATATATAT